TAGTAGATAATTTATTACTGTGTTCCTTGTGAGGGCATTGGCGAAATATTGTGCGACGCTATCTCCGATTTTATTGTTGCAAAGGTCGAGAATGATAAGTGTCTATAAAAGAAGCAGCATTTAAGGACGTGAAGATAAGTAATAAATTGTGTTTTACTTTGTTTTCTATTAGAGAAAAAGCAAGGCATTGTGCTCCTTCATCCCCGATACTATTGAAACAGAGCTTGAGTGAAATAAGTGTCTATTTAAAAAGGAAACTTTAGCATAATGTTGATGAATAGTAAATGGTGTCTTACTATATTTTTGGCGAGCACGTCAGCAAGACATTGTGCCCCTTGATTTCCGATTTCATTGTATCTAAGATCGAGTGAAGTAAGTGTCTATATAAATAGTGGGTTATTGAGATCATAAAAATAATTTGCAATATGTGGAATACGGTATTGGTGTTGCTTGTGAGAGCACAACCTATATATTGTACGCCAGAACTAACTATCTGATTGCGTCCAAGATTGAGTATCTTTAGTGTCTGCGCAAAAAATCAACGATTCCTATGAAAACTATGGGTAAGAAATTGTGTAGCACCGTGTTCTTTGTCAGTGCATCGGCAAGATATTGTGCTCCGTCCTCTCCGATTTTATTTTCGCTCAAATCGAGTGTAGTGAGTGTCTGTTTGAGAACTCTAGATCAATAACAAGAAAAATATTAGAAAATGAAACGATGCCCAAATACAAATAGAAATGCTATTATGGAAAGAGTGTGGCACTCCGAAAGCTTAGAACTTGTGGCTCGCTACATCCAGACTGTCCATCGAAGTACACTCGTACAACATTCGAATCTCGACCCAGGACCACAGGAGTAATGATCAACGAAGTCGAAATTTTTGATTCAGACTCCAACTTCGAAAAATGTTCGTGTAATTTATTGACATGAAGGTTCTTTATTAAGATGGATGATCAGAGTTTCGAAAGAAAAGCAAGCTTTTTTCAATTTTGAGGTCTTGTCTAATCGATTGCTGTTTCTGAAGTCCCAAAATTTGTCTGATTTTCTTCTAGATTGATGTACCTAAATACATTTTGAGCTCTCGAAAACCAATGGAACTTCGAGTATTCCAAATAATAAAGACATTCAAGAATCAGATCTAAGCATTTTCACTAATTTTTATTATTTCGAATATAAATTATTAGAATAATACTTTCACGTATTCGAATTGCTGGCGCCCCTTTCAAAACCTATCGCTTTTTTGAATAATTGAAATATATAGAATTCTCAGATACAACGCAACAGCAAGAGTAGTAAAAAAAAGAGATTGTCGATAAAGTACCAATTAGGTATAGGCGAATGCGGAAGACTCGATAAACTACTTTTTAACAGCCAGAAAAAATAGTAGGTAATGTGCTCAAAAAGTAATGTTTGTGGTTTTCAAGAAAAGTTTTCTGATTGATTTCTGATTTGCAACTTTTTGATATTACGACCCTGTTCCTCACACTCTTCCCTGAGAATTTGGATTCGTATGTTGTTGAAGTTAGAATTATATTTCGAATTTGAACTTCAATGCACGTCACTATACAGAGGCGAATCTCACTGCATCAAATATCTTTTCCTACTCACAGGGATATTCTTTAATGATAATCCGCGTGATCTGGTTCTACAATAGTTTCACTTTTAAACATTTCTATCTATGACTTTGCAGCATCATAGTACAATTAGCACCTTGTAGTAGGTAATGAAATTAGGATTTGAAAACCTATAATATAATCTATTGTTTTGTTCTACGATATATTATCATGTACTGAAGAAAAATTCAGAGTTTGACAAGTTATACTCTTATGTGTTATGATCTAGTAGAGAGAAAATCTTAGAATGAATATGGTTCTTGATTTTCTATTCGACAGCCACACTCTACATGAATTCAAGATAATACAAGTTGTATTTGTATTTGCGCATATTTGCAAAAACCTATGTTTACAGCGTTGACTAAGAGAGCATCGGCAAGATTTTTCGCTCCATTATCTTCGATTCCATTTTCGTTCAGATCAAGTATGATGATTGTCTGTGTGAAAATCAAACTTTGGCATTATGGAAAGGATTAGTGAATTTTCTTTGTTACGTCGTTATGCTTGAGAGCATTGGCTAGATATGATGCACCTGAATCACCAATCTGAGTACGTGCTAGATTGAGTATAGTGAGAGTCTATGTGATAAGGAGAGATGAAATAAAATAAAAGAAAATACTAAATATTGTTCATTACTCTGTTATTTGTAAGAGCATTGGCAAGGTGTTTTGCTCCTAGCTCTCCGATTTCATTGTGTGTTAGGTCGAGTGTGGTGAGTGTCTGTTTAGAAAGTGAAGTTAGACATGACGACAATATTAGTAGATAATAAGTTACCGTATTGCTTTTTAGAGCATTGGCAAGGTGTTTGACTCCGTCGTTTTCAATTTCATTATCACAAAGATCCAGTGTAGTAAGTGTCTGCGTAAAACACAGACATCATTAGGATGAAGATGGATAATAATTTTTACGTCACCTTATTAACTGTGAGTGCATTGGCAAGATGCTGTACTCCTAGGTCTCTGATTCGATTGCATCGCAGATTCAGAATGGTGAGACTCTGCACCAAAATTGGAGATTATCAAGACAAAGATAAATAATAATGTATGTGATACCTTGTTTTTTATCAGAGCATCACAAAGATGTTGTGCTCCTTGATGTTCAATTTCATTAACGCTAAAGTCGAGTGTGGTAAGTGTCTACGGAAAAGAAACAGAGATAAATGTACGCAAAATTAATATTAAACTGTGTAGTACTGTATTTTTTGTGAGAGCATCAGCAATATGTTTTGTTCCTAGATCTCCGATTTGGTTGTCAGTCAGGTCGAGAATGGTGAGTGTCTATCCGAAAGAGAAATATTGAGAAGACGATAACCAGTAAATTATAGCTCACTGTGTTATTTTTGAGAGCATCGGCCAAATAAGCAATCCCTTGATCATGGATTCTATTATGCCCAATTTTGATCCTGATAAGTATCTATTTGAAAATTGTATAGAGGTCAACACGAAGAAGATAATTAGTCAGCGTTTATTTACGGTATTGTTGTTCAGCCCATCGACAAGACGTTGTACTTGTTGGTCATCGACTTCATATTCG